ATCTTGTAGCCGGGCGTGGTGGTGCACACCTTTAATCCCAGCACTCAGGAGGCAGAGGCAGGAGGATCTCTGTGAGTTCAAGGCCAGCCTGGTCTACATAGTGAGTTCCAGGATAGCTGGGGCTACAGGGAGACCCTGTCTCAAAAAGACCCCTCCCAAAAAATGTGGTCTTATAATAGTATATTAGAGTTAGAAAGACTAGGGTTTAAGTCATGACTGTCTTCCATAGTTTAATATTGAATAGTTATTTTACAGTTGTTTTTGTCCCTATCAACTATATAAAGCTATATAATTTAGTTCTATTTCTCAACATTTGGTCAAACAACCCTTCGATTTGAATCACTTGGTATATAGTGTGGCAGCATGCCAGTCTTAGTGACCTTAAATTTTTAACTTGGGCCAGGCCTGGTGGCACACACCTTTGAGCCCAGCACTCAGGAGGCAGAGGCAGGTGGATCTCTATGAGTTCAAGGCCAGCCTGGTCTACATAGTGAGTTCCAGGCCAGATGGGGCTACATGGAGACCCTGTCTCAAAAAGACCCCCCCCCAATTTTCTTTTAACTGGAACTCAGTAATTTTTAACATGTATCCTTGGTACTTTTATATACCTTGAAGTTTAAAAATCACAGTGGTGAAAAACGAGCTTAAGAGATCCAGGAGCCCTAAGTCTCAGTCTCAACTTTACCATTTCCTAGCTGTATGACCTTGAACAAATTCTCCCCAGCCCTATTTCCACATTGGAAAATGTGGTTAATGACCTTACCTTACAGGCTGTACACACTACCAAGAACTAAAACAATACATGTAAAATATCTCAGTGCCTGGCACGTAGTACATGCTTGATGTATTTTCCAGCCTCTCAGAAAGGGTCATTGGAGTTTTACTTCTGTAAACAACACACGGCAGAGCTTCTTATATAACCAGTTCTCAATAGTTACTTCTTTTTCGTCCCTGAATTCTATCCTTAGGTATGACAGCAGTACTGTGTTAGTTAATATCTTAGTGTTGACTGGCCTGGAACTTGACCAGGCTGACCTTAAACTCTCAGAGATCCACCTGACAGAGATCCACCTGACTCTGCCTCTCAAGTACTAGGATTACAGGCATGCACCACTATGCCCGTTTTGTCGCTGTGGTTGTTGTTGCTGTTTTAACCTGATAAGATCTACAGTTACCTAGGAGATAAACCTCTGGGAATGCCTGTGAAGGATTATCTAGATTAGGTTAACAGAGAAGCACTATTCCACAGGTTGAAGTCCTGGACTAAATAAAAAGGAGAAAGGGAGCTGAGCACTAGCATTCAACTCCCTCTGCTTCCTGACTGCAGATGCCATGTGACCAGCTGCTGAAGCTTCTACTGCCATGACTTCCCTGCCAGGATGAACTGGATCCTCAAATTGTGAGCCCAAATCCCTTAAAGTGCTTCTTGTTGAGTATTTTGTCACAACAATGAAAAAAGTAACTAATACAGATATTCTTCCATGTAAAACTTCACCAAAGTTTTAATACTTTTTTCTGTAGTAGTGAGAACAAAAAAAACCCTAAAGTAATGAATATCTTGCCAAAAAGCAGTTTCATGAGGTTGCTGTCACAGTAGACATTTGCCTCTTGCACGGTTTCATTCCTCAGGAAGATACAGAAGAATTACCTGATGGGCGTGGTGGCACATGCCTGTAGTCCCAGCACTTGGGAGGCAGTGGCAGGTGGAGCTCTGTGAGTTCAAGGCCAACCTGGTCTACATAGTAAGTTCCAGGCCAGCTGGGGATACAGGCCCTGTTTCAAAAAGACCAAAAAAAAAAAAAAAAAAAGGAAGAAGAATTACCTAACAATGGGTGATTAGAAGATGGAGAGATAGCTCAGCCATTAAGATCACTGACTGCTCTTGCAGAGGACCTAGGTTTGGTTCCCAGCATCCACATGGCAGCTAACAACCGTCCATAAATTCCAGTTCCAGGGAATCCAACACCCTCTTCTGTCCTCCACAGGCACTGCATAACACAGGTACACTTACTTGCAGTACACTCATACACATAAAATAAAATTTAATTTTAAAAAAAATTTAAAATTTTAAAAATAAAAAAATTAAAATGGGTGATTAAAAAACTACTCCTGAAGTTCTGGTAGTCTAGTGAGATTCATAAAATAAATAAATCTATTTACCAATGTGAAGTCAAATAAATACATAATAATTGTAAAAAAATAATATTTTTTAAAAGAAGGAAGAGGAGAAGGAAAGCCAGGCATAGTGGCTGACCCATATAGTCTTGGAAGGCAGAGGCAAGAGGCTCACTATGGGCTTGAGGCCAGCCTAGCCTACATAGCAAGTTCCAGGCCAGCCAAGAATAAATAATACCCTGCCTAAAAAAAGGAGGGGAAAAAAAAAGAAAAGAAAAAAAGGAAGGAAGCTTGCAGGTAAAGATGTGAAAAATACTTGCCAATTTTTGGCATTGTTTTCAAAGTATTAATCATCAAAATTAAGTATATATTAAATTGGGAAGAAAAAAATGGCCAGACTAATATTAAAATATAGCTATGTTTTCACCTCTGTATTCCCCTTCCTTTCTTCTACCACTTAACCCTGACCTTACAAAATTCTTCTTTCCCTGGGCTCTATGGTCTTTGATGGCTTACCTGTCCCTAAGGTTAGTACAGGGTCTCAGGATGGGGAAGTTCTTTTCTTTTTGATAGTAGAAATGAAAGAGCTTTTACTTAGAAGCAAATCTTGTTGCTTCTCCTCCCTAGCTCCAGGGACTACAAGTCGGTGGGAAAGCCTTTTATTCAGGAAATGTTTTCATAGTAGTTAAAATCAAATTATTTTTGTCTGGGGAAGGGGTAGGAGAGATTTTTTGTAAAATAGACTTTGCACTAAAAATAAAGGATATAACAGTTTAACGTTATCTACCAACCAAATATTTACTTTACTGTATTACAAATAATACCTACCACTTTTGAGTCCCTGTACAACTTACTGAACAATGTGCCAGACAATATACTAATTATTCTAATGCGTTATTTTCCTTAATAGTAACAACAATCCTATGACAGGTATTTTTACATTTCTAGTCTGCAAATGGGATAACTGAGTCTCATAGAATGAAAGCAATTTCCTTATGAATACACAGTGAGTAGTAAGAAAAGCTCAAGGTTCCACTGGTAGAAGAATCCATGCTCTTAACACAATGCCCCATGACTAACACTTTATAATCAGTTCTGGAAGTAAAACATTGTCTTTACCCAGAATGTAACAAAATTACTTGAGGCATGTGGTCCACTTGAGTCTCTGTGAATTGTGGGCATAACATGTATGCACGTATGTGTGCACATGTGTGTGTCCCATCCCTCCCTGCATATCAATCCGCATCTGTGTGAAGTCAGAACTTGTTTCCAAATTTCAGAGTGTCTTTCTTACCAAGAACCACCCTACCATA